GGAGTTTTGATCGACTGAAAATCGGATTTCAAATTCTGATGAACGATATATTTATTAGAAATAATGACCGCACGTAAGCCGAGTGCTCGCGGTATAGAAGTATTGGTAGTGTGACGCGAAATCATGTATGCCTGACGTTAGTGCTTATACTCCAAGGTGTCCTATATTCCAGGCAGGTAGATACCATAAAGGAACAAAGAAGAGCGCTTACATAACTTCATTTGCCGAAGGACAATAAAGCATTTACAATTTATATTTGCCCGCGACATTTATTTGCCATTAAACAGGTAATATTTTCATTGGAGGAAGTGCTATTAATTAAGGCAGATGAAGTGAAACGTAACGGAATTTGCACAAAATTTGATATCATGATGGTACAGTAAAACATATTTCGTCTCATCCCACGACAAAATCCTCCTAATCCAACAAGCATAACAGTGATATAACGGCGCGTGCCATAGTTTAGTAGTTTAGTAATAGTTTAGACTCGAAGTGTCGGATGATTAATGGAAGGTTTCACGAACGCGAGAAAGCAAATCTTTCCATGCGTAATCCCGTTACGCGTCGAATCTGGCTTAGGTTCAATCGAAATATCACCGCTTGCCTAATAATAAAAGAAGGAATAACATTTTAATAGTACATCGGAGCATGGAACATTCACGGATCATTAGCTCGCACCTCGCTGAAAATCAGCCATGCGCGTTACAACAATCCGAGCTTTAATAAAGCGTTTGAAGCACATTGCGATTAATAGCCTTGATGGGGGGGGAGGGGGATATTGCCGAAAAAGTTAAACGATTTTTATTTGTCGAGGCGCGGCAGTCAGCCCTCGGGAATGTCGGTGAACGACAGGAGCTAAATTAGTCTTCTCCCGGCGAGACTTTCAATTTCGAGTGGACGTAATTCGCCTCACGGAGGTGCAGAGACACGCGGGAGCTCGAGCTATGTGAAGGTCGAAGCTAGAGAGAGAGAGAGAGAGAGAGAGAGAGAGAGAGAGGGCGCTTGGGAAACCGAAAGTCCCGTGAACGAGAGTCCGTGGATTATTACGTGCGTTAACGCGGACGTGAGCGTCCGGCTGGGAAAAGGAAAAGTGCGGGTGGTGACTCAATGAGGGAGGGGAGAGATGGCGTTGGAGAGTGTTAAACGAGCGCAAAAACGAGGGTGCGAAAACGTGCCCGCGAACGGTGCGCTTATAATTGCAACGAGCTGTAATAAGTTTCGGAAATTTAATTATTTTCAGCCGCGGAGTTCCAAGTATCTCTGACTCTCTCACACACTCATTCGCTCATTCAGTCATTCACTCTCTCTCTCTCTCTCTCTCTCTCTCTCTCTCTCTCGCTCCCTCTCTCTCTCTCTCTCTCGCTCCCTCTCTCTCTCTCTCTCTCGCTCCCTCTCTCTCTCTCTCTCTCGTTCTTTTTTTTTTATGAGAGAGAGAGAGAGAGAGATAGAGAGAGAGAGAGAGTGAAGGAGAAGGCATGATAAACTCACGGTACGCGCTAAGCGTCGGCTCGGAAGAGTAATCATCTCGTCTGGTATAAACTCTGTCTCGTTTCTCTATGTGTTAAAAGAGAGAGAGAGAGAGAGAGAGAAAAGACGACACACCATTTGCTATTACGAGCCAAGGGTCTGGGTACTTCTTAATTGATGATATCGGTTATCGCTGAATTAGCAGTTGCGGATTCCAATCGAGTCTCGTAGTCATCACGCCTAAGCGCTTTGATCTTTTTCTATCTAAATCACTCCAACGTCGAATTTTATGATAAATCTTATCTCTAAGCGATAGAAAAATAAATACTTTTCGCTTTTATCACTTTTGTCGATTTTAAATTTCAAGCCTGCAAATATATTACATATATCAACAATCTTTCCTTCCTGCTATTAAATAGTATTTCTGCGTCATATAATACACATAATATATTACTTTTAACATTAGATGCAGAAAATTCGTTAATTGAAAAATGTTGATCTGGAAATATCCATCAACATTTTTGCGCATATTAAGCCCTATCTAGCAATCTAGCAAATTTTTACACATAAATATCATTATAAAAATGTAAATTATAAATAAAATAAAAATGAGTAATTAACATTTCGTTCAGCACGAGAATAAAAAGTCGGAAAAGATATTGATTCGTAATGTACAATTAATTTGGAAAATCGAATGTTTACAAATAACATTTCATCCTACGCCACTTAAATCAAATAGATGTTTCATTTACCAAACCATTTGGAAAGTTATTCTAACAAATTGACATACACCAGTAATATCAGTCTAACATAAAATGTTGACAAGCATCCTTCGGATGACTCGTACGAAAGTTTCAAGCAACCAATAATAGTTTTTAATGCCATTGCAATGTAAGTATAATAATACCGCTATCTCCAATCACCTTGCACAACGCGGCAGCAATAAATTAAAGTCAAATCAAGGCAGTACATCAGTGAACAAATCAAAAGAGAGGAAAGTAAAAGAAATAAATGGAAAAATACCTCTGACAACGAATCATACCGCGCTATTTCATTATAACTACTCGACATTACTTCCCCTAATAAAATTCCCAACTCGTCCAAATTTCCGATAATGAGTCGCTTCTACGGCAGTTCGTGTCTTTTCTCCCCACCCAATCCTCCACTCGAGCATTCCACACATCCATTCGAGGCTCGGGAGTTAAAGACCAAGAAGTCTAATCCCACTCACAATTCATCCGTACATCCGCTTACTCGTAAAAAAGCCTCTTACTCTCGATTGTTCTCCCGGACCTCCGAGACGCAACTCGTAAAGCGGCCACGCGTGCAACGGTATACGCGCGCGTGCTCATTATTACCGCGAGGCTCGTCCGAACGATGCGTCGCTCCTCGGTGCGGCGTCACGGCATCACGGCGTCGGGCGCGCAATGCCACGACTTTTTCATTCGCTCATTCGTACGAAGGAAGAAGAAAGTGAGGCGCGCGACGACTTAACAACGAACGACCAGCCACCACGAGTCGGCAATAATATCGCGTCCCGTTAAGCAGTCTTCGGCGCGTTCTATGGGCTCTTTGGCCCAGGCAGACACGAATGATCTCGCTCTTTTTCCTCTCGTAACTCCCCCCTCCCCCCTCAACCTCCTCACAACCATTCTCCAAACATCGTCTCCCGACCCTGTCTCGCACGCTCGTTCTCAGCCTTTAAAAAGCATGAATAGACGCCAAGTCATTAAGTTTGTACTATCCCCCCGTGCGTTGTTTGGGACGTCCCATGCAGCTTTGTCCAGCGCTGTCCCGAGTACGCCAAGGCCTTTACTTCCGAGGCGAAAATAAGGCAAGTCGAGTGGCCTGCGGCAAAGCCGAGAGAAAGAAAGATGCGACAACGGTTCATAGCAGATTGCGTTCTTAGAAATTAATGTATCCACGCCGGTGACAGACAGACGCACCGATTCTTTCGCCTCATAATGGCCGACCGAAATAACTATCGGCCAACAACGCCTAACGGATTCTTGAAAAATTCATGTTAACGCGCGTCTTTGCCAGCCTCTTTCCTACCATTACTCTCTTTCTTCCCCCCCCCCCTCCCCGGCCCGACCCCGACCCCGACCCACTCCCCAAATCTCGCGTTCGTACTTTTTCTTATTAAGCTTGTCAACCTTTGTGCTCGCGACATTTTCCGTACGTGCATGCATGTGGAACGCGCGTTGGTGAAAGGGATTCGTAAGCTAGTTTCAACGATTCCAATCACGCATCCTTGTTGCATTTCACGTTAACGATTATGCGCTTGCACAAGTTCATTGGGAACTACGGGGAGGCGGACGCATCCTTTTTGCTGCTAGTAAGCTACGGGCTGGGAAACATTATTCTCGTCGGAATAAACGCGAGGCCTTGCCGACTCGTGGGAATGGTAACGACAGATGCAGAGTCCGCCTCCTTACCTCCTGCAAGACGAACTTGGAAAGATGCTTTCTTTTTTTAGGAGACACGAATTTTTAAAATGGTTGAGAAAAATTCAGAGCATTTTCAAAATTATTTGATAAAATGCGTATTGCGTGCAGAGCCGAGCAATCTAAGGGCGGCGGGACCATGTTAAAGTTTTCGTTTGAGCTCTGCGCTCGCCACCACCGCAAGGGCCTCAAAAATTCATGGGCTTATTCATGAAGATTTGGAAACTTCCCTCTCGCTTTGAAATGAGTGCCAACCGACCCCCCTCCCCCCCCCCCCCCCCCCCCCCCGCCCCTCGTACTCCCCCAAACCACCTAACTCCTCCACTGTCCACCATCTCACGCGGACAAGCGAGGACACGAACACACCGCGCCACAACTACCGCGAGGCTTCATGTGCGTATATTACGACCTGCTGGCAAATAAGGTTCGCCAAATTAGTTGCCGAGATTTTTTTTATCGCTCTCGCTCTCGTTCATATCCGCGGCATCCTTCGATCGCCTAACAGTCGGTTTTCGACTTTAATCCCATGGCCGGCCGCCTGCGGTCGCATTGTTTGCAGTCTCAAATTGACTTTTGTCACTGTGAACTTCATTGCATGAATCTTCTGTAAATGTATGAGTCTTCCGACCATATCGGAGGCGATTGGACACGAGCTTTACGAAATTGGCTTTTGATGTTTTTAATTGAAGAACCCAATTTACAGCTTCATCCATCTACAGCACGTGGACGAATAAGTTTAGACTTCATTTGAATGTACAATGAAGAGGAGATTAAGCATTTGTAAAATTCGATGATATCCGCCGGATATTTGTACATAAAAGTTATTCGTTCATTCGTACAGATGGGCTTGAGTAACACTCAGTCTCCTATTACCACTGGACCCTTTAAACGATGAATTTAGCGTCATAAGCGTGCCTTTTAATACATTCAAGCGATTATCCATTTTTATCTCATTATCAACACCAACGTCGCAGTGCGACCAAAGCGATAGGGCGATGATTACGTTTTTGCGAGTAGTCGTCAGTTTATGGAAAAATAAGGAGAAAGCCGAGACTAATATCGCACGACTTATTGTTTCTGTTACAGCTATCCTGGCGCACTTTTTTTTCCTGGCAACTTTCTTCTGGCTCAACACAATGTGCTTCAACATCTGGTGGACCTTCAGGTTAGTTCTCCAACACCTACGCTCTTTCATCGCCTTTTCTCCTCCCTCGACTCGTCCTCCCCCGAGACGACGCGTCCCTTTTCAATATCGCAATTACCCGGACTCGCGGGAGGCCCGAGAGGTGGCGCAACTACCTATAACACGATCCCACCCACGCCCCACGGCTTTTTACGTATTGCGAACACGTTCGCAGCTGGGGAAAAAATTTTCCACGAATGATTGCCGCCCGTCTGGTGGATCATTCATTTTGCCATCTCGCTCGCGCTTCATTGCTCTCTCCGCGGCACTTAATAACAAATAACGCGGCGGCGCCACCCTGGCCAAGGTCAGGCCTGGCAAATAGGCGGAATTCGGCCCGACTGTATAGAAATCCGGTCGGATGATATGTATTTCCAAATCTACATTTATCCGCGCTCCTCTGCGCATTACGTGTGTTTTCCACGTGCGTGCGCTTCGTGTACGCGATCAACTGGGCGCCTCCGTCTCTTTTGTTTCTTTATCCGGGTTGCGTTCTCGCGACAATCGCGCAATATATGACACTCGGCGTTCGTTGTGCGCTGGTGACGCGCACTATTCCGGCATTGTATCGCCGTACCGAGGGAACTAACTTTTGTTCCAGTTTTCATGGTGGCGCCAAGTTTCCGGAATAATAATTGACGAATGTCGCGTTGAACGTCTCGAGCGGTCCCGAATTCCTAGTGGCCGCCGTTAATTTGGATGGATTATCGGCTACTTACGGCCCTCGTGCCACGAGCTTTTATTTTCGCGCTGTTCGTCGTCACCTGGGACTTTAGCATCCCGATTGAGCCTCTCGCGCCTATTACCCTTGACGTGGTAAATTAGCCATGCCCGTGGCATAATTCCCGTGAGCGTCTCTTACTTTTTAAGGATGACAGAGGTCAGTGATTGGATATGTAAGTGTGGAAATTTAAAAGTTATGATAGACCCATAGACAAATAGATGATTATCTTGTCAGGTACGCGTGCGTTATTTTATTAAGGTCAGTCTTACAAGTAATAACGTGTAGATTACGATTAAGCGTGTCGATGGGCCGACGATGGGCCGAGAATGATGAAAGAGTTCAAGTATTATTAAAGAACTATTCGAGTTTGATTGAGAATCGTGTGTTTGGAACGTTCCGAGCATCGATAATAGTGAATTCGATAGAAAAGCTTAAGGATAAACAAGCGAGCAGTGCTAAATTATTAGATTTAACACGCGATGAAGGCAGCTTATCGCGCTAAATTTTCTTATTGCTCGCTGAAGTCAATCGGTCAATTCACTCGTTGAACGTTATATTGAAAATTCCACTTGTAAATACTAAACGTCATTCGAGTTGGGAAAAGTAGTTTACCTTCGTTATTAAATTGCCCGGTGAAGGCTGGGTAGTGTAGCAAAAATCTAATTACATTATTACAAGTAATTTTTATGCATCGAAGCTAGATTCTTGCATAGTTCGTTAATTCCTTTTTTTTGCGCATACGTCATTCCTTAATCACAACTATTTTTCTTTAAACACATTTTCAGATTAATTGAATACGTCGTTCGTATACATTGATCGCGTAAACAAAAATCTCAAGCCTTTGATTAAGGAAGTCTCTTTCACTTAGAATTTACTTTTCAAGAAAATTGATTTAATGGATGGGAATCGAGATTGCGATAACAGTCGTAATATTTAGGGCAAACAAAATTTAAAATGAACAAGAGGAAAAGGAGAAAAGAACCATTACGTTATTATACTAACGAATAGACGAAAGTATAAGAATTACGAGCAAGTTTATATATTCCTTCAACTGTACGATATTTCGTAATATAACATAAGTAATTTGTAGTGGGATGATCGAAGTATTGTGAAAAGTCACACATTGAATAAAAGTTTTTACGACAATCTTCTTCAAGTATGAATTATCGGGCGCTAAAAATCATTGACAGACCGTTATTAACAAGTGTTAAATAAATATAAGGAAACATTAGCACAGCAGATATCTTACGTAAGGGAATCCAGTGCAAATAGCTTGACGGGTTTTAAAATATTGATTCAATTGTTCATGCCGAATTCAATGAAAAGAGATTCGTTATCGTCCATTACGTCTATTGAAATACGTTATTATACGTTTAAAATTTTTAAGTCAAACAGCCGCGTTGTACATTGTATGTTAAAGCGAAATACTATGTAATTGATTAAATCATCAAGCGTACAATCTCGAAAAATCCTTTGCTAATTATTAGTTTAGTGAATTAGACGACTCTGTCGAGTTGTTAGAACGTTTTCAGGCGAAGAACTTCAACTTGATAAAATGAAGAAGAGAAGAAAATTTTATGCTCATTTTCATTTAAATTGTATTTTACGAAATGAATGGGCGCAAAAGTTTAATAACCCCATGTTATCAGTGCGAGTTTTTATATTTTTGTGCCATTAAACATCGTTAGTCTACGACGGATTTCCTAAAAGTGTACGAGACACGATCAGGAAATTAGTCATTACCTAAATGCATTATAGTATGAAATTGGCTTAAAATTCTACGATTGCGCTTCCTTGGAGCATAAAACATACACTCGTATAAAGGTACGAAGGGTCATTTCTTTTTATTATCTGAGAAACGTGTATTTTACAAGTAACTTTGTTAAACGGAGGGCTTTCTCGGTTCAACACCAAGGAAATATGCTCCAACAATTAATTCACGCATTAAACGAAGAAGTGTTTCAACTACTGTTTGTTCTTTTCACAGGCGCAGCATGTAGTGAAAAAAATAGAGAATACCGGTCTCGAAAGTCCAAGGTATAAACAAGGTAAATTGTAGAGTCTGAGAGCGTAGGAGAAAAAGAGGGCAGACAAGATGAAAAATCTCACGAGCTGCACTTTTGTGTAAATGGGAACTAATTAGGAAAATCATGACGATGGTTCGGGGGGAGGGGTTGTGATCTACCGATCCCTCGGTGCCCGATTTAACTACCTAATTCTCCTCGTCTCAACACATACACCGGATTTATTCACCATTGTTTCTTAAAGCCTATCATGTACTTTGTAGCTTAACAAACAAATCTTTTATTTTTGAATTATACGACTCTTTATTATACCTCTCGTACAAGTGATTATAATTTTACCTTAAAGCTATATTTATAAATTAAATAATAAGTTCAGTGACTCGTCTCGTGCATTGATTAAACATAATTAATAAATGTTATTTCAGTATATCGAAAATAAATTGAACGAACATTCGTTATTCTACGAAATAGCGATTTACAGCGTTAATTTAATCTTTTATGCATACAATTTACTTAGCCGAAGGAGGAATAGATGGGGCAATTTTCTTCCCATATCATGTGCAATATATTGTACCAAATACTACACATGCATTATCAATAAACTATTATATATAGTGTCGTTTATCATTATTGTTTTAATATGAAACAAATAAGCAATTTTTGACAATCTATGCTTAAATAACTACGAATAACTACCAATACATAACGAACATTTTACTCATTAAATATGTTTATTCAACTAATATTACTAATACTTTAAAGCATTACAAAATCATAATGGTGCATAAATAATAATAGCGTCAACCTTAATGTACCACTTCATCCCCCGCAAAAAAAAAAAAAAAAAAAAAAAAAAAAAAAAAAAAAAAAAAAAAAAACGATCCCTAAATATCGGCCAGTATTAAAATCAGTCATAAGACACGACTTGAGAATACATAGTTACACAGCATCGAGAGAGAGAGATCGTATGAGGTTGACTGGAAGCATGAATAACTTAACCGAACAAAGTCTCGACGAACGTCCATACGGCATTTAATCCGAGTCCTTCATTACCACTTTATCGCTCCATCTTCCTCTCGTCCATTTGAGGTCACGTTCGCGTTTGTAGATCTTCCTCGTTGATGTATACCGTTACGAGCCAAGGACCACAAAGTTCGCCGGTCCAGGGCCTCATATTATAAACAACAAGTGCGCGATAGATATGTAGCCGGCGCTGTTTGCCGGTGAATTATCCGCTAAATGTCATTAATTACACTTTAGCAAAGACTCGAATCCCTTTCGCGGTCGGTATTTTACGTATTCCCGTGTTCGGCTTGGTCCGATAAGACAAGTGCATCTCCCAGGAATGTGTGGTGAAGTAGGTTGTAATGCGCGTCGAGGGCAGTCATTAGCATGTAAAGGGGCTTTCGTTGAAAATTCTTCGTGAAATTGAGCTCTCGTCGTTCGGCCGAATAAGCATTGGAGGGGGAAATACGTGACATTACCGAAAACGCGAAATATCTCCTGAGAGAATAACTCACTTTTATTAACGTCGACGTCTATTCACGAATCCCATAATTTTGATAATATCGATATTTCATGTTTGCGTAATAAGAGGAGAGATACAATGAAATAACCGAGAGCAACATATACGGAAACTCGAGGTATCTCTTGCATATTTACGCTGAAATTCTAGTGGAATAATAATAATTATCATCGATGCGGAATCGACGGGGCACAACGCGCTGGCCAAATAAAAGTACCGCAAAAAAATAATAATGAAAATTAATTAAACTTTTGTACATGCTGCTGGATGAAAACGTTAATCCTGTTCCACGGCTCGTTATTTTTCAAATAAAATACTCTTCAATGTGAAAATAGGATGCTATCATCCACTTATTTCAGGCTTGTTCGGGACGGAATCAATCATCGAGCCGCAGTGCGTTCTCGGGCTTTGAGAAAATCATTGTAATAGGAAAAGAAAGAAGCAAATATGAAGGTAGGGCCGTGAATAAACAAGATTGCCTCTCAATACTCCCACATTGTTGGCGTCAGCAGCGTCGGAGATAGAATTTCTGCACGCGCTTCTAAAGATAAAGAGAAGAGCCAAAGTGTACGTGCTGGCCGTCATGTCCATAAACATGTGGCGTCCAAAGTGCGCGTCCAAGTGCTTGAAAATCCGTGTCCAGCGCACAATGCGCAATTTCTCTCTCTCTCTCTCTCTCTCTCTCTCTCTCTCTCGGTTAAGCAGACGC